CATGCCCTGGGCGCGCGCCCAGTACGCCTTAGGGGCGCCAGCGCTTGTCGTTATTATTACAAGGCTTCTTTTGCGCATGATTTTGGCACTTAGTGATACCCTTAGCAACCAAATAAAGCAATTTTATAGTTGGCAGCACTGTAACTCATTGCACAGAATTCAGAAAATAATGTTTACTATCAATTCTGTGCTTCCAACATATACAACATATACATTTCAATACTATTTTCAAAATTTATACTATGTTCATAATGTTAATTATATTTAGTTAAGCATAACCATGATAATTAATTTAAAGACTTATATTTTTAGAATAAGCTAAAGGAATATGTATTTAAATATATATTTTAAATCATATCTGCTTTTCATTATTATATTAGTGTGTTGTCTAATAAGCTGTAATACATCCAATAAAAATTATGTATATGTGAGTTCGGATAGCAAGATCGAAAAACCGGAGTGCCAAAATGACCAGTGTACATGTCCGTTTAACTATATTTACGACAAACCACGTGACATTTGCTACGATTTATGGTGCAAATCAACCCGCGAGTGTCAAGACCTGGACACTAATAAAGTGTGCGAGATCAAAAGGCATAGGCACCGGTGTGTTTGTAAATTCACATATAAAGCAAACCTTACCAATTATAATATGTGTTATGAAAACCGGTCTCTCATTTGGTTTGTGAATGCAGTCATCATAATAGTAATGATCATCATATTGATAAACGTAGTATATATTTGTAAACATTATGGTTACTGGGACTCAATTCGTAATTTTCCCCAGTACAGTTCTTACTGGTATAATTATAATAGTAGACGTAATATTGGTAATTTAAATATAAGACTTGGAAATAGTCATAACAATTATGTAATTCATAATGAAAACACATATCATTATAGTGATACTCAGCATATTTTTGTCAATTTATACTCATCTGAAAATACACCCTATAATTATGAATACACATCTCATTTTGTTAATTTAACCTCACCATTAAATAATACAGATTTACCTAATGCACCATTGCCACATACAGTAACTATGACCGATGATAACCCACCTAGTTATAATGAATGTATTGCACATCCTCCTAATTATAAGTCATTACTCTAATATTAATATTTTATGAGTTATACAATTTATATTTTCATCAATTAAATTTTTTATTTCTCATATATTTGTAAATTATAAAGTATAAATGTTTTATAACTATTGTAAAAAGATTATATTTAAATATTTATTTTATTTTATAAAAAAATAAATTCCAAATTCGGTAATTCATGAAAATGTTGTATTAAATAATTATTTACTACTGCCCATGTCCACTATTTTGTAAATATTACACTGTTTAACATTTAAATATCATTTTAAATGCCACATAATTGAGATACATATCAGTATGATTTAAAATCGCTGTATTACTATAAATGTATATAATGTATTTTAATATTACAATAAATCTTTATTTATTAATGGCAATATGTTTATTAAATAATTCTATACGATGTGTTAGTAGTAGGATAATGAATGATTATCCTATTACGCCAGATGTACATAATGTTAAAGACCTGTGTATAAATATTGACTGTTCAGAGTCAATGAATATATTTAACATCAATTTTAAAGACATATTGCCTAAAGAAATAAGACCATTTTGCCATAAGGGACAGTGCGTATGTCCCCCAAATTATGTTTACATAATATATTGTACATTAAGAAGGTGCTATGATGATAGTCAATGTCAGGAATATGACCCGAATAGAGTTTGCGATAAGCATGGTTCCTGTGAATGTCGTTTTCATCATGAGCCAGATCCTCAAAATAATAATATATGCAAAGTATTACCGTATTATCCGTGGTTTATTCCTTGGGGGATCATTGGTGTATGTGTTACGCCCATAAGCATTTATTTTTATTGTAAATATTATCAAAATCGTTCATGTCCTAATATTGAACATGACCTGGAACTATTGTGTTGTGGTCACGATTTACATTAAATATTAAATAATTTTGAATCCTTTTGCACTTCGTTACTATAACTTACGAATTATGGTACAGTATGTTGAAAAAATGTCCTTTATAATAAATTATTATTTTGAAAGTTTAAACACGAATAAAATAATATTACTTTTAATAATATTGTGTAATATAAAATATAATCACATACGTATTGCATAATTTAATAAAAATATTCTGTTAAAATCTATGTACTGTTATTATATAAATATTTATCTACACTATAGAAAAATTAAAATTAGCAACATACAGTATTACCAAAAAATTTATAAACTCTAATATTAACTGGTTTAATATTTAAATGGTATATGATTTAATGCTTTGATAGACAAGTAATTTTTAAAAAATAAGTATTAGTATTGAATATTAGTAATAATTTTCAAATATTTCATTAATACTGAAACCTAAGGAAATTATGAAAGTAGTTTCAATACACAAATAATCTAAAATGTTTTGCCATAAAATAACATACGTAAATTATGATGTTACATAATATAGTAAAAATTGTAAAAAGACCATTTATAAAAATAAATAAATTAATATACTTTTTAAATGCATTTATTTTTAAAGTATAATTTAAATTAACATTTCAAAATGATTGCAAAAATAAATTTTAATTTAGTATGGTTACTATAATTATTTACTTCTTTCTAAGTTCTACACCAATATGTATGTCCTCCGTATTTAATACAAAACCATGTTTTCTAATAATCGGCGGAACTGTAGTCTTGGGTGTTGTCCTAAATCTATACTTATGAACCAAATGAGCGACGGCTGTTTTGGCCTCCATTAATGCGAACCTCATTCCCACACAATTTCGGGGTCCCGTCCCGAACGGCATATACGTGTATGGAGTCAATTGGTCACGATTTTCAGGCATAAACCTCTCGGGATCCCAGCGGTCGGGGTTCGGGTAGTACTCGGGATTGTGATGAAGGGACTGGATGTCAAACATAATCAACATTCCTTTCTGGATCGTTAATCCCATATCAGCTATATTATTGAAAAACATAAATTACACCTTGATTATATTATATTGAATATTCTGTAAATTATTCTTATTATACAGAATATTCTGTTAAAACTCACGAATAGTGTATTCCTGTGCCGCCAATCGAGGAGTGCCCGGAACGGGATTATAAAGTCTGAGTGTTTCGGCAATACATGCCTCCAAATACGGCATTTGTGAGACACTCTCGTAGTCGTAGTGTCCGTCCAAACGACTCACTTCTTCGTACAGTCTTTGCTGACACTTCTCATTGACGGCCAGACTGTGGAACAGGAGTGACAACGAAGTACTGGTAGTCTCGTAGGCGGCCGTTATGAATAGATAGCTCGTGGCCAGTATGTCGGTGTCTGTGATACTACCGGTGCTCTTGGATTTTGGTGAGCTACTAGTTTCCGTCGATTCCGTCTTTCCATAAATGTCTTCATTTAAATCATGAATCTCTGCGTCCTTTAGATTGTGGGCATTCATACGGTTCTGGGCGTCAATCAAAAGCTGTAAATAATCTCTTTGTCGCACTTTCTCTGACTTTCGTTTCGCCACAATTGACTGAATCTGAAACACATTTTCAATATCATTAAAACATTTCTTTAAAATTTCTTTAAAAAATATTAAAGATTTTTTAGTTTTAAATTAAATAATTAACTAGAGATATTTATTTAAAATTACATAATTAACTAAAGAATCTCTTTTAGCATGAAAATTAAACAAACATTTTACAAAACCTAAAATATGGTCGTACGGTCGGTACGCCTAAAGTATGGTCGGGTTGTAAAATATTTATACAATAACACAATCTGTACTATTGTACAGTACTGGTACATGCATGTACCCATTTTAAAGTTTTACAAAATGTTTGTTTAACTCGTATTATTTGAATAAATGTTAAATATTTAGTGAATATAATGAAACTGACCAGTGAAGCAAAAAATGCTTGACTCGATGGGTCAACAAACTGAAATCCAGTCCACTTAAGCAGTTTGGGTGATATGGCATAGAGGGCCCCAAACACCAGACACCTCCACAGTTTGAGATGCAATGACTTTTGTGAATATAATAGGAATTCATTGGTCTTCTTGTGGTCATTATATGTGTCTATTTTGGTGCCGAAAGCGCACGAAGCGATCGCATCGATCGTTAGGCTTCCCATCGTTTCCTTCATCTCCACGTCTCCTCCAGTCATGGCTTTGGTCTCCAAATAGTTGTCTAATCTGTGGACACAATCAATGATAATGGGATGCATTGCCCGCATTTTTCCACTCGAAAACGTCGGCGTAATCTATTTTATTATAATTTTTTGTCTCATTAATAAAAGTTATAAATCTTTATCTTTAGTTTAAAATCTTCGCCATAATCGTGTTTACTCGTTTTATTAAATTTAAAAATACTTAGAATAGAGCTAGATTAAAACAAAATTTTTTACAACTATGGTTTTATTGCACCAACACACTGATATGACGACTT